CCACATTGGCGATTGTAGATCAGTACAGACTATTCCATGTAGTCTGTGACGCCAGCGATATTGCTATCGGCTGCGCGCTAATGTAGTACGATGTCGGAGGTGCAGAGCGCGTAGTCTGATACCAGTCACGTTAGCTGCATGCAGCTGGGAGTAATTCTCCAGTGCATGACAAGAATCTACTTGCCATACTCACTGGCGAATTTTCGCGTCTATTTCCTAGGAGATGGACCAATTTTAGGTTATACGGACCATTTGTCGTTATGCACGGCCGAAAACAGTCCACGCCTTTATAAAAGGATGGCGAGGTGGCTGTCCTTGTTCGCCAAGTACATATTCTCCGTGGACTGCAAATACGGATAACTTAATGTCTTCGCGGACGCTTAATCGCGCCGACCCGACATCGAGTCGCCTGCACAGTCCAACAGTAAGGTCGACACAACTATCGCAACACTATTCACTAGTTTTACGTCGTCAACATTTCTTTACGACATAAAAATACCTAGGCAGAAAATAAGGCTCTTCTGCAACAAACGAATCATCTGTTGACTCCATCTCGTAAACCTATCGAAGGTTTACCGTCCTTGTAACGATCCTCTGCGGACCTATATACAATACGCAACTTATTGCTATATTATACAGCCGTTTCCGGCGACACACCTCGTGTCGTCGTCCCCACTTACAAGGATTTGCGGTTATGCATCTTGTTTGAGTGCCATGATACACCACCTGGTTGGCTTCGTGGGCGTGAGAAGGCTTATCTCAAGGTAGGTCGCATCTTCACTGGCCCCGCCAGGATCAGTTCGTGTGCAAGTATATTTGTGTTTGTGAAGTGTACGAACGGTTGAAGCCTAGTCCTTCATCCCGTGCGCCACTACAGCCTCTAACAATTCCGGCAGAGTACAGGAAGTCCATTTTAATGGACTTCGTCTTCGATATTCCCGTAAAAGCTCACAAGAATAATGGTATTCTTGTGTTCGTTGATCGTTTTAGCAAGATGGTACATCTTGCTCCCGTTTGGCAATCAAACACAGCACATGGGTGTGCCCGTGTCTTCATTGGCAAGGTATTCCGACTTCACGGTCTTCCCGTGAACTAGTCTCTGATAGAGACAATCGATTCACGGCGGCGTTCTAAACCTTTATTTCGATCCGTCAGAACATCTCTGACTTTGTCAACTTCTGACATCCCGATACAGATGGTTAGACATAATGCGTCAACCGCGTCCTCGAGGAGATACTTCGACAATACGTCCGATCTTTCACAGATTGGAGCGAACTTTTGCCCATGGTGGAGTTTGCCATCAACAACTTCGTGCATGCGTCGACAACGCATAGACCACTCTTCGGGAATGGCTTACGCCATCCACGCCTACCCACCCAATTAGAGTGTACTTTATTTTAAGGGGGATAGAAATTCGCTCTAGCCAAACCGTTCTGGCTCTTGATCATCACGTATTGTAGTACTCGACGAAGCGAACGTTGCTAATGCCGATCAACTCGACATCGAAGATGAAAATATCAGCAACAGTGACGACACTATTGCTAACCTAGATGAGGATGACGATGCCGGTATTTTTAGCATCACCAACGACTACACCAGCGAGGATGAGACCAACCTCGCTGAAAACGATGATGATCTGTTAGCGGTGAGCTCGAGGTGCACTGCAAAATTCAAAGTGAGTCAGCAGAAGATAATCTGAAGGCACGAAAAGCAGGGGTCAGTTTCGTGCAAGAATCCATCGTTAGCGCCGAAAACGGACAGAAACGGACACTGACAAACATAGAAGAGTAAACTTTTTTCTATTTGATCTTAAAAATGAGCTCTACCGACTACGATATATCTACCTAAGCACGTAGTAAATAATGTGGGTAGTAGCAAACTACTACACAAGCACATCGTGTCGTTTCGTGTACTACATCGCAAAGGTAGCGCGTATGCGATTGAGTTGTCTCGCAAGATGCGTAGCATTCTACATTTTACGTCGATCGTCTGATCCCGTACTATCGTCAAGAGGTCTCTTTCTCAGGTGGATGCAACCGCCACGCTCAAGAATCTGAAAAAGATTCTTTTGGTCGCGAGCCATTATCTCAATCTGACTCTGTAATGCCGCATTTTGGCGACGAATGTCGGACAATTCATCGCGAAAGGCTTGACGCCTCTTCTCGTTCTACAATTAATAGAACGCGAATTCCACTCGGTCATCAGAACGATAAAGGCGGATGCATTTCACCCACGAATCCAAATACAGACGCTCATGTCTCTCTATATCGCAGGGATCGCGTACACGTTGCTGAACACGATCTAGCTCCGTTTGCAACTCCAACACTTAGGTTGAAATTGTCTTCCCGCCCCCACCGCACCGTTGATAGACTCGCATGGTGTTCAGCGCTTTCACGTGTAGCATATCTTAAACTACATTAATCTGAAGGAGAAGCGAACGAGTTATCTTGCTCGCTGGCGCTGCTATCCGCAGTCGCACGACAGCTGGGAGCCTCGCGCCCATCTGATGATTGACGCTGAGGGTCTCCTCCACCAGTACGACGAGAAACATCCAATGACTTAGAGGGGCCATCAGAGAACTCGCGCCCATGGCGCTGATGTAGCAGGTTAGCAATCGCATCGCGCATTTCAAAAGGGATGTGCAACCTACCCCAGGGCGAAGGAAAATCGTACATGTCCCTTTGTCTGCGTTGCGTGTTTTCAAAACATCACGGACATGGGTCGCCTTAAGTAAAGCATGCAATTCCTTCCTCACGAGACAGATGGTGCAACATGGGTTTTGCACTCGTTACAGCTAGTTTCTAAAGCCCGACACGAGCTGCGTCAAGTTTTCTTAGCCAGGTAGCACGCCCAAGGTGCTGCACAACAAGCATGAAGGCGTGCCACGCCTGCAGCAGAGATCTTTTGTCTCACTAAATATTGCCGCTGTACCAACTATGCTTTATAAAGCATTGAGAAAAGGTCCTCTCTAGCGCGAAAGTTCCTCGGGTTGATATCAAGGCAGTGCAACAGCCTCGCATTGAACAATAAAATTCTTTGATGAAGACTTCCCTCGCCTGACAGGTCGCTCACAAGCATTTCTAGTAAGACGAAGTCTTATGCGCAGGGGATGGACGCGGCACGTTACCGTCTAGATCCACCTGAGTGGTACCAACGGAAGTATTGGTACCACTACAACCGTCACCACGTCGGTGCAAGTCATCACTGCATTCGCTAGGAAGAGAATGCGCAGTAGCAAGCGAAATGGATGATTCAGAATACTCATCGTCCAACACAAACAGGCTCTCGTAGCAACCATGAGTCCGACTACCCGCTCGAGTACTATTCTTAGACTCGTATTCGACCACCCTTTGAGCCTCGGGTGACCTAGGCGTCTTCTTCAAGTCTGACTCAACGTCCAATCTCCACCCCAAATAGATGAGTTCCACTTGGGAGCCATTATCATCATCAGCACGTTGTGACACACCGCGTGCCTATGCAGCAACTGGTGCTGCATGAAGAGTTGAAGCGGCAGCAGACTAAGCATCTTCTGCCACAATAGGCTGGGCTTCGTCAAGAGCAGCTGCCTTCTCAGCAGCTTTCGCGGCTCATCGCATGAGCTCGCTCACTATGCGATGACGATTCAGAAATGAATGGATCAAACCAAAACCGGAGCTTCCCGTCCCTGATGTGGACTAAAAGTGGCTAAATTAACATGATAGAGACTAAGTGACTATCGAATAAGGGGGGGTTATATTACAAGGTGAGTCTGTTAAATGGAGTTAACCCTTGATACTTGTTAGTTAGAATATTATCATAAAGGCCGATAACGTTCATGAATATTACCATAAAGGTTGATAATTCTAAGTACTCCCCGATTTGCTGATATGGGTCATCATACCAGCCAGCTCTTGAGGTCCAATCAGTGATCGACGCGCTCAATGAGTGGTGAGCAAGAGTTTGGCGTACATTTTGTAGATAAACATATTATAGTTAGTACTAAAACATAGGTTAATGATCAGGACTTGTTCATTTTTAATACAGTTTTCTTTTTCTTCCATTGAACGCCTCATTTAATCGCTAGCCCATCTTTTGCACGTACTCTGTTTGTGGAGTGACGTGCGGCACTACCTGCACTGTTGTGAGTATAAGTGACCTAGGACTGAAGCAGTACTAGTGACTAGTGCCACATTACACAAGGTAATTGTCGAACTTTCGAATTCTTTTTATGTGTGTGTCTTTAAATTACGCTGGATGTACCTCGCACGTATTATGTGCGATCTAGCATGTCCCCCCTCATAATTATAAACGCATGTCCGAAGTCACTCTTTGGCTGGAAACTATAAGATGGACGCACGTGGGTGGTAAAAATTCGATCAAAGTTGAATATAATCATACTAGCGAATGCAGGACGCTCAAAGGTAAATCGCGTTGTTCAAGAGTACAATACTAATTTAGTACAGTCATTTATAACATAATACGCATTCATCAGTGGCTGCTGTTGTATACTAGTAGTATTTTGAAACCTGATTCGTTTCTCCGAACTGGATTACATACATCAAAGGGGCAGCTCCAGAATTTCTACCATAGTTGAAGTAAGCGACCATAGAACGACGTACAAGTGCGTTTGACGTCCAATACTATAAGTTAGTGGAGGTTATATGTTATTGGGGGAAACGTTATCAGAGGAAGGACTATATTTGTGATCGCCCACAAAGATCTAAATCGCGTCATCCACGATCAGAGCCCCATCGAGGTAATTATTGTAAATCAATATGTCGGAAGTTTGCGCGTGTCTTGTCAGTAGCCAGATAAAACATGTCCATCTCAAGAGATGCGTCGAACATACAATGAAACAACTAGTATGGGCATTACACTAAGCTCTCAGAAACAGACTTACTTGTCGAGGTGCCGATTTGACCGGGTCAATTCTTACCTCCCAAGAGCGATTCAGTGCCGCATGCATGTGACCCGCACCTGAATACAATCGATTTGTTCGTCACTCCTCGCAATCTCCGCCTTTACGTTTTCGTCGGGCTGGAGCGTCGCAGCCACCCCATATGCAACCTGCACGGTGCGCACTGAGACAGAGCGCAGCCTACCGCGCCAGAACATTAGCCTTTTACGAAGCTCTTGCCAGCTCGAAGTCGAGCGCTTTACTAAACAAACAGCTTACTCTCCATGATCGAGAGTCCAATGCGGACCACAGCCTGATATAGCGGCATCAGCACTCTGATGTCACATAAACGAATGACTGGATGTTACCGATTGACATGCGAGGAATATGGCCTGCAGAAAATCATTCACTGGAGAGGCTTTGAGTCGCATAACCTTTTTTGTCCTGGTTGTCTTGTGCGGTATTCTTGTGGCTCCGTTTTTGGAAGACGTAACAAAGACGAGTGATAACAAAAGCCTTGACGAATACGCTCTGTTGACGCTGTTCTCATTTTTAATCAATGCAATAAACAACATCAACGCATTTTCCGGGCACCTTCAGCAGTGTCGGCAATTCGTAGACCGCATCCACAACGCACCGCCAGCTGGTACTGGAACGCATACGCTCACTTGAGCAGCGATAAATGGGTCGTCTGGATCGATCTGGAGTGCCACCTCTATCGTCTTCCCGCGAAGCTTGTGCTTCATCTGCAAAGCATAAACGAGATTTTCGTAGACTCGACCGTTGTGAGACGTGATGCACACAAAACAAACACGTAATGCTGTGGTTTCTGTCCCATTCACTGCCACTATTTATTCAGCCATTTTATGTACCACACAGCAGTGTTTGATACCTTGTAATCGCTCGCATCAGCTTCAGCGAGCATGACATTTTACGTCGATCCAATCTTTGCAAACCGCATTAGATGGCGCTGTGAGTTATCGCCTGTGCGCCAGTCCAAACGCCTCTCTACTCATGTGTACCACTACGCTTCGAGTCAATGGCTGGGAGCTGATGTTGCGATACAAGCTATACAGGCTGTTTGCTGTATCGGCCTGTTGAACACTCAATAGTGGCTTTTGTTGTACATCCATCTCATGTTCGCCGTGCTGCTCTCTCGAAAATGTCATCATCTTCGTGCTGCATTGTGTATCCATACAATATCATTAGGCGATCCGCAATACGATCCATCGTTCTGCAAGCACAAATCAATGGGTTGATTATAGCTGATAAATGGATTGCAATCATGTATATAACAAGCGACTTGCCACTTACTCTGGCGCAATGGCCGGGCAGACAACGTCGCAAACACCCTCACATCTACCGATGGTTTTCTGTACATGCTCCAAGATAAACCTCCAATTTGCAACAGGCTTTTTCTTCGTCGGAAGTGAAGACCTGGAAGCACCAAGTCGCAGCATTAGCAATTCTGAAAATGTTCGAACTCTCAACGAGTGCATATACCAGCAACGTTTGTCAAGGCTACAAACAAGCTCGTCGTCAGTGCCGTGGAGCGCTTTCCCGTTTGAGCGGATTAACGATCCGACAAAGTGGTCGCTGAACTGTCCCCCAATTCGAGCAAAACCCAGTAAGGTAGACGCTGGAGGCAATAAACTGGCCCCACCCTCGTTCGCAGAGTTATTTCGCTTCCGCTTTTGCGATGACCGGCACAGGGTTTCAGCTGCAAGTGCTATCATAGGACGTGGTATACGAGCAAAAGCGCTCTCCAAAGGGACAGCTTCTCCATTTGGCCTTAGCTGGTGTGAAGTTGTGGGGCGCGGACTTGGCTGTCTGGCTCCTGTTAGTAGCTCAAAATCCTCCAAAATTTCGATCGGATCCTGCAAAAAACTGACATATATACGTAAATGTCTTGCTCACAGTGCCATATATGAACAACATGCAGTCATACTTGGTATCACGAAGGTTCCGCGTATGCTGAGGCCAACGAAATTTCCTACGAGTATCAAACATGATGACGATCGAATATTGCACATCCATTTCGAACAGAAGTTGCGACTTACCGCGCATACTCATCCGAATGAGTCGTAGCAAATTCAAGCGGTGGTCCCGACAGTTTAACACTTCGACGGATCGCTGTTTCCTCAACGAGGGGAATGCGTGATGTGATATTTCGCAGCACAAACTTTGCTTGGTTGACGTCACCAAGTGAAATCACCTCCTCATCTTCATCCTCTGTTGACACGCGATGCTCCCATTCATTGTCACGCCACTCCGTGTCGCTGTCTGTGTCACTCTCGTCGGCAAATTCATCGGTCTTAACCGTAACCGCAGTATCTCGCGCATTCGCATCTCGCGACAGTTGCGTCTGCCAGTCACCGTCAACGAGCTCGTCGCCCCCATTTTCTTCCTTCAACAAGCCTCTCACACTCCGTGGTATCGATCCTTCCGCCTCGCGATCCTTGTCAAGGTAACTATCAGACAAATTCGTCCGCTTCGAACACTCAACTCTCCTCAATTTCTTCGTCGGGTGCGCCTCACATCCTTCCTCACTTTTCACAGCATCATACCATCTTGTCTTCTTCACAATCGTCGCTGGGCTTAAGTTCTCGCTGCGTACCTCGTCTTCATCCTGCTCGCTGGTGCTACTTTCAGGAGGGACAGTACTGCTGCAATAACTGCGTGCCGAATCTTCGCTACTGCTCGCACTCTCCGAAGCACAGGAGTCACTCTCCTCGTGCTGCGCCTCGCTCTCACTCTCCGTCTCGTCGCTCTCTTGAAACTGCTTTGTCACCATTAACTTTGGCATTGTCTGCGTGAAACTTTCAAACTGCATCGATTATCGAAATCACACTTGGCGAGCAGTCGCCATCCGAAACAGTTAGCGAGCACAAAGAGCTGTGTCCCAATGAAGTACCTCGGAGTAAAGCATGGCGAACTGGCCTTGTTCGACGCTGACGGCCGTCCGACTTCCCCAGCGCTCGCCCAGGCTACAGACAATCATGTGCAAGTGATTTGTGGGGGCGTGCGTACGTTGCTGCTGCCCCTGGGTCTTCGGCTGATGCAGAATGCCGATGTCAAGCGCGGAGATGCCCTTGTCTTAGTGCTGGATAACAACCGCACGAGCGTCGCTTGTGTGTTGGCGGCTATGCACCTGCAGTGCGTCTGTGTCTTACTGAGTGCAAGTCGCGTGACGCTACTGGATCACGTGACAACCGAGACCGGTATCCCCAAAGTCATGACAGTGCAAGATGCGACAGTGTCTGTGAGCATCGCCAGCTGCCAAGCCGCGGGAGACGCCACAGGTCAAGCAGGCACGACGTTGTGGCTCACTGAGGATGCGGACATTGTACAAAGCGGAGGTGTGTGTTTGCTCACGTCAGGGACTGTTGGCAAGCCGAAAGTCGTGTTTTGCTCGTGGAACCACATGCTGTTGCAAGGCGAGGCGACGCACCGGCAGCTTTTTCCACAGGGACCGGCACGTATTGTTTGCGGCACGTCCATTTCCCACGCATTCTCTATAAATGCAGTTTTTGCGCTGTTTACGTCTTCATTCGACGCGCAATCGGAACTTTGCTTTGCCTCCAGTCCCGTGGGGCTCTACTCGTTGCTTGCTCAGCGCAATGCGCTGTTCACGGTGCTGTACGCAACGCCTGGGATATACGTTGCCCTCGCTACTATGCCACCAACTTCGCTGTATGCTGATATCGCTTATTGTGCAGGCGCGCGTCTTTCGCAGTCATTGTTTTGCAAAATGAGAGACAACTATGGACTACTGCTGATGCAGAACTACGGCTCGACTGAAACGGGCGATATAGCAGCTTGGCATCTGCGAAGTAAAAAAATTGACACAGAAGTAGCGGAAATGGAAAGCAGCGAGATACAGCTGTACGTTGGCAGCGTGTGGCCTGGTGTGCAGGCTTATACCAATGACAATGGTGAGATCGCGGTCGAGACTCCGTGGCAGTCCGGAGGGTATGTAAAGGCACGCATGCTGCACCGTTTTTCTGGCGCGCATATTACGTCTGACCTCGGTGTGATTTCGCAAGACGATGATGGAGTTGACTGCGTATGGCTACAGGAACGTCTGCGTCCCAAAGTTGAGGCCGAATGGCAAGGTCAGCGTACGACGTATTTCCCGGCTGAGATTGAAGCTGTGCTCATCGCACATCCCTGCGTATCGGATGTTCTTGTACTGATCCAGAGTGAAGCGAACCGCGAGCAAGGAATCATTCGAGCTCGCGTTGTTCTGTACGACAATGCTGCAGCCAACGAATTGGGCCTGATAGAATGGTGTACTCGGCACAACTTGACAGGTCTAGAGGACGCGTTGGTTGTTGAAATGACAAAATTTTTACCCTGTAGTCTAGCAGGGAAGCTAATGTATGCGTAATTTGATGATGTTTACCGAGCTTTGTCACTGCAATACGAAGCAGGTGACGATTTGTTGTTATCATGAATATTTATTATTTGCTACCTATCGCATACAACAGCGCCCTTTGATTGCACTCGCAATGGAATGAAAAACAGACCCACGGAAACAGGCTGTCCGAAAACATCGTAAGCAAGTTGCTCATTCCAAACGCGTTCGGATCAATCCAAGGGCCGTGTGGACTTATGTAGCAGTTATTCTTATCGAGATACAAGTGTTGCAATGCTGAAGTAATTTTAATCAGGCATTCAAGAATGGTGTCGAGTCACAAACAAGCAATAAAGATTCGAAACAACGCTGAAAAATGTTCGTGATACACGCCTGCTAGTTTAGGTAACCATACCGATGATCTGCGCATATCAACTCTCGCAGTTCGTTGCTAAATTCTCTGATCGGGTTTTCAAGCAGGTTCGTCGTGCCTCAGACCAAGGCAATTGAATAGCAAGATCGCTACGACCAAGCTCAGGTATATATCGGTGATAACGAGTTCAAGATAAACCTTAACTGCTAAAAGCTCCTTTTGTTACAAGTGTCGTGCGTGTAAACACAAGCGAAAAGTCGCATATTTATTGCACACCACGTCGAGAGTCATACACACCCTCCTGATACCTCTGCCCCATCCTAATGCTGTAGATTCGCCATTGCCGCTTAGGTAGCACTGTTCAAGTACACGAAAAGCAACATACGCCAGCCGGAGTCCTAATCATAGTGTTTTGCTCCTTTTTGCTCAGTATTCCGAAAGAGACCGTTAAGCCGGTCTATTGCTGAGAAGAGGACAATGGATGCGGCGCCAAATTTCGTAAAATGTACGAACCTACACCATGGGCTCCGTACAGATAGAGCGCCTTTGCGTAAACTCGTCCTGCTTAACTACTTTGCGCTTCGATCATGTACTGTTCGAAGGGGTACAAAATCTTGTTGAGGTTAGCGTCATGAGCCTGCACGATATGACATTTCCCGCACTATACTGTCACAAGAACATTTGGAATCGGTGTGAACCGTATCTACGGTGGCCAACACGCATCGTTTGTCTTTCCAAAGTAGCACGAAAGCGATGGACATGAAACCTGCGAACTGGCACGACTTTGCTAGCATTGAGCTGTTTACAACGAGTGCGGGTTATTGGCAATTTGTCTGTAGGCGCTGTCAAAGGCAAGCGTAGTACACTGTTGTATTTTAGCAAATCACATTTATTGAGGTCATTACAATTGCTTGCGGGTACGATGGATTCCACATGCAAAATAGTGCATACCTATGTAATCGAAGTCGTCAGTGATTTTCTTCGCATAATATGCAGCTGAATTACAGCGCAAATCCGAATGATGTGCATGTCTGAAGAGCTGGATTCAACACCAACAAAGTGAGCGGACAGATGACGACCAGGACTCTATCCTTGTGGCGTAACCCATTTCGTTTAGATGCTCTAGTATAGCTTGCATGGCATTTGTTACGGCTGGCAACATTTTTTTCACCTAGTTTCACCTTTGTGTTGGTGGACCACGCAGCTAAGTACTCCTTTTTAATCTAGTGACTTTGTTCGGTAGGTTTCAGCCTTTTACCGATCGATCCATACTTTTAGCCACAACTCGCGACATCCGACGACAGCCTTACGCGACTTTCACTGTAACTAACAGTATTCTTCACCTGGCTGGTGACCTTGATAACGTTCGCTAGTCGAAGCTGCTTGGGAAAGTAGACCACGTTGTCGTGTTGTTACCTACCGCTCGCTCTAAAAGCCACCTACCGGCTATTTTATCGAAAGCAGTGGACAGATAAGGATAGCGTCAATGCCGATGTAGCTGAGCACGACTCAATTTGACGTGGCGGGGGCTGCCGTGCATCAGACTGTACAATTATTACGAGTTTCGCAGCCTACCTAAGTGGTCCCTCATGGGGATCAAAGCTGAGTACCTTGTATAATCGTTCTGCGTAGAATGTAATTACCGGGCACACATTGCTTTAGCTCGCCGACAGTGCCCTCAATATAGATCACCCTTGACATATCAGCCCCCTTACATAATTGATTGATGTATCTTAGATGGATTATACTCAACGACTTCTCTACGCCTAGCTGGGAACAAATTGCTGGAAGGTGTGATGGATCGATGGAACAAGATGAAGCATTCGGTTAGGCACGGTAGGGTAACGTGGTCCGTAATACATTCTCAGTTTTACCTTTAACTCCGCAAGAGCCTCTCAATCGAGGCTAGCAGACCGATCACCCCCCCCTCCTTGCAAGCCACAAGTGTGTCACTCAGCATGTTTTTATCACCGATAACGTGGTCAGTTCACGTACGTGCATAATTACTCGTATGTAGTAAGACTGCATGCGTTGCCAGCGCTGCATAAATGGGCATAGGTACAATTGTGAGCATTATATAGCGTGTCACGTCAAACAAAACGAAGTGCGATGAAGTCAAGAATTCGCTTTACACGTTAGAAAGAAGATGTCTATGGTTGTCACACGGTCAACCCGCTAGCAAACGATGCACTTTCACTTCCACTCCCGCTGTAATTAATCGGCAGGTATTTTTGCACGTAACAGAGTGTCGGTCCACATCCGGACTTTGGTAAGGCTGCGAATGAAGTCTCTTCATGTTTGTATTGAGATAAAATCTACCACGTTCTGAGGTCGGGGCGCACTTTCGCTGAACCATACCCAGGTGTTTCTTGCTAACGTTTCTTATTCGCGTTTACCATTCGTTGTGCATATACGCGAGGTAACCAGGGCATTGTCGGTGCAATACGCGTAATCAGAGCATTAATGGTGCAATACGCGTAATCAGGGTATCTGGGTACCAGTTACATTGTGGAATCCAAGATGGAATGCGAACGACACAATCATGCTTATTAATTTGACTTATATTGTATCTTTAATGCTAAGCACCATGCTATTGGTATCTTTTCTGACGATGGCTCTTGAACAGCACACATGTGTTCTCGGATGCATACAACCACCATTGTGGTGAGCGAAAAAACATTGCAGCCTCAATCGAAACCGAGATTTTACATGGTCTGGCAAAGGTTTGAGACGGAAGACTAGCCTGACAATCAAGAGGAATCAGCAGCGTAAGTCGTTCGGCAAACAGCTTCACGACATGGCGTCGTCAGTGAGCTGCTAAAGGGGCAGGACGCTACGCACAAGCAACAAGACGTTGTTTCATACTGATATATCGAAAGCGATGGCGTGCAATAACTGAAGGCAAAACTAGAGCTGAACGACGTGCAACGCCTTCTCGTCACACATGGCGATGGAATTCGGTTCGGTGGGTGACCATCGAATCTGATTGATGGGCTCGTCTGACTTCAATAAGGCGTACCAGGAGCCCACGGTTTGTTCTTTTGATCCCGTCATCTCTGCGCAAATGTCGTACACAATTGCAGCACAGTCTTCGCCAGCACTGCATAGATTGTATCTTGAATGGGGTGACCACGACATGGAGTTTACGCTCTCCGTGTGGTGATCCAGCACGGCCATTGGGTAGACGGGACGACGAATGTCGATCACCGAGATTTTAGTGCTGTTGGCAGCGAAAACTGCAATGAACCGATCATCGCGCTTGTTCCAAGCTAGCCTGAGTAAAGCGGATTCGTCCGTCGTTCGGAATAGTATTGTACTTGAGACCAAGGACCTACAAAATTGTACAGTATCGGTCACCCCATTGCAAGCACTTGGGTGCAAATGACGGGTTACCTTAGATCAAAGAAGCGCAGCGTTCCATCAGCACCCACCGAGGCGAAATTTTCGGGGTCGCTACTTGAAAAAGCGATATCATACACTTCAGTGTCGTGAGCAACAATTTGGTGCTTCGGGGACGTTGGTTGCTGTGACAAAGGTGACTTTGTTAAGTCGAAATGCATTAATGCACTTGAATACAAATGCTTTGAGACGTACATTGATGTCCCATATGGTGCACGTATTTCCTGTACTGGCAGTTCCAATAATACGGGGCTCCAATTCATTCCAATCGAAGCTGGTGAGCGGTGCACAAGCATCATTGATGTTTTTTCTCTGCAGGAAGAAGCATCACATCTAGTCGTAGTGCACCATCACTACCCCACACTGTGTAACAGAACGAACCTCGGTGAATCTTGAGTGCAGCTCAATGGACGAGTCTGATATCGTCCAGAGCCGCAAGAAGTCGGCGGTCGTCGCCAGCAGCTCCACATGCGCACCGAGCGAGGCTGGAGACCACATAATCTTGGAGGGCGGATACGGGTGGTCGATCTCCAGTGCCGAGACCACTTCCGTCTTGTTGGCTGTGGGGTGGAAGATCTTTGGTACATGTAATGATGGTAATGTTAAGCCTAGACGGCACCTAAACCCTGAGAACTTGGATAAAAAGGTACCTCAATCTTGTTGGCGTATTCGCCCGGGATGAAGGTGGAGGCTGCAATCCGCAATTTACTAGCGTCTGGTCGCCAGCACAGACCATACAGACGGTCCCTTGTCGGGTATGTGATGAAAGGCCGGTTACAATGGACCGATTGCTGGGATGTCGCCATCAGCTAAACTGTTAGCTAAAAACAACGTGATGCTCCTTTTATTAAACAAGTAGTGTCGTTCAGCTGTAGTATCCCTTTTTATCTTTCCAGAATAGGTTCGAAACGTGCTCACGATCTTGTTTCTATGTCTCGCGGTTTACCGTCTCGCGTGGAAGACTCTGAAATGATCAGGACTATCCAGCACCTACTACAATTGCTCCTCGCTCTCGACGGATTGGCTCTTTGTCTTCATTGAACTGGACTTACGGGGAAATTCTGCGTGGCCGAGTCTTTGCTCACAGGCAACTAGCGTACAATTCACGGTGTATCGTCAATGCGTTGCTTGGCAATCAGTATCGGAACAGTAGTGGATACCATTGTTCCGATACTAATTGCCAAGCATGGATATCACCTCCCTCTTGTGAAACATGTGGTCCATGCGGATAACTTGTTGGCTATTATTGTAGTAGAAAATGTGTATTTCCTGTCACGGTGACGTGGTAATACAACGCAATTGCAACGACGATAGCGAAAAGAAAACCTTTGTCCATCCGGGTACTTACACCAATGCGTGAGCGCAACGAAGAAGAATCAGCCGTCATCATTACATCATTCGGGGCCCGCTGAAACGCATTCAGTTTCATGGCGAGTGCTACTCTCGCATGCTCAAGTGTACATCCGATGCAACAAGTACTACCTCCGTGTTGCACATACCATTGTAAACGGACGAATCGATCCACTCTCAGCGTGTCTCATTCGAGGATTCCACATCATTCCGATGTTCATCTAGTCTTTGATATCGTCGTTGGTGCCGGACGAAATTGGGGATACAGGCATAAAGTACCGGCGTATTGCAGCTTGGAATCGATTTCCGTAAAGAATCGGCTCGATGATTGTTGGAGAGGATTGTCCAGCAATCATACTGACAGACTTTCCGACACTCTCGACACGCTTGATCAGATCGAATTGTCGGAAGTAGTCGATGATACCGACGGTCATGTCAGACAGATTTTTCTCCTCTCCTGTATCGTCGAGTCGATGTCCTAGACCCACAACCATCGAGTAGTCCACGATTCGGATGGAGTTAAGAAAAGCAGTATCATTCTGCACTGCTTCTGAGATATACCGATGATCCTCCGCGAGTACCGCTACTGGACGACCTCTTGTAACTTCCAAGAAGTTGCCATCAAGAAGGACACGACTGCCATTTTGGAAATCTTCTGGGGTTGGTTGCGGCTTAGCAAATCGATTCCGAGCGCTCCCTTTGAGATCAAAGACCTGTGTAAGCTGCTTTTGGTAGAAAATGTTTTCCATGACACAGATGTAGTACACCGCTTTCTCGCCGGTATCTTTGCGGGATATGGTCGTCTGGTAGAGCCCGACGGTTTTCGACAACAGGCTTGCTCGGCCGTCGAAGTAAATACTCGCCACGTACTTGAAGTATTCAGGTAGACAGTTCAGGAAGCTCTAACCACATTCACAACAAAATGACGATATTGGTGAGTGCTGACGTTAAGACCGCAGGTCATATGCACTCATACCTGCATTTCAATCGATGAAATGTGCTTAACAACAAAGCGGCCATCCAGTGTTCGGTAGAACGAGGCACCGGATTTACCTCCCTTCGCATCCCAGCTTGCCACGTGTGCTATCGAGAATACATAGCCCGGGTGATTCCCATAAAATAATTCTCGAAGAACCTGAAACTAAGTATCGGGATACACAAAGCTGCATTAGTACATCGAGCTCATAAAATGGCGTGTATCATGTACATACTTGGAGTGGGTAGTGTACAATCGTTGAGAATTCCCAGCGAGTGTTCAACTGTGTCGACGACATCTTGCCGGAGAAGAGCGACATGTGTAATGGCATTTCTTCTGCTTCGAATTTAAATGGCGCGTTCAACGGCGCTTCGAGCGCCGCTCGAGACACGTTCATGGACGTTGCGCTTGCAGCATCCATTTCTTGTTGTTTGTGCGCAGCAACTGACCCAACCGTTTCCCCATGCATGCGTATATTCCACCCGTCCAGCTCTTCTTGATACGAAGTAGTTGATAAAGCATATGCGACGTTCGTAATGGGTTTCACCTCATCGACAAGTACTACTAGAGACTTGGACCGATTCGGGAGGCTCGGGTGGCCGGCAGTGAGTGCTTCAGGAAAGTCAATACTAAATTCACTTCCTGGTTCAGTTTGACCGAGAACGCGGTGGAGATCCCACAAAGCCTTTTTCCATCCATCCTGGAAAACAATACGATTTACATACTTTGCGCAATCTTGACATCACTTCGGCTATCCACTACGTACGCACCTCTTCTTCCTCTTCTTCATTGGTAGAAGCATCTGGTAAAAGTACCGTTGATCTCATCGACGTTTCAAATGTCGCAAAAGTTAATGAAGATGATAGCAGCAGTGTGTCTGTGATCGATCCAGACGCAGACGTAGAATCTAGAGCTCCAGTACTCCTTCCACGAATTAGCAAGTCAGCGCCTGTACCACCATCAAACTCTGTATCTATGGTCCTGGGCGGCAGGGTTAATGCTTTTGCCATTCGTGGGAGTCTGGTAGGTGACAAAAGGGTAGGAGAAAGAAGCGCAAACTCTCCGGGCGTAAAAGACTTACTGTGTGACGATAGAGAGGCCACCTCCATCGTAAGGTTTTTCTCAATTGAGTCACGAAGGCACAGCATGCAGGTAATCCATTTGCATGCCATCAAATACAGTGCCCGTTGGAAAGCATCGCAAGCACTCAATGCGTCCACAAGACTTCCACCGACTAGCGCCAACCTATGCGAGAAAACTGCGTCACCGCTTCGTACAATTTTAGAAATGCACACAGCTTCGAGGATGATTCGCGTATGACGACCTAAGTCGTTGTCCTCAAACGCTTTTACCGCTCGGTTAATTCCCTGAACCTTCCCGTTAAAGGTATTGATTAGCAAGTCTAGCAGCTTCTTCAGCGTTTCAAGACGAGATACCACTTCCTTCTTCGCAACCACGTGCCCGCATTGAGCAAATGGTGGCTTGGCATGAGGAGTGCGGTTGTCGTGCTTGAAATTTGCGCGGTCCAGACGAAGCGACACTTGCTTCGAAAAATCAAAGCGTGCCACAGACTTGTTAATATTGAAAAAAAGCACATGTGATTCCTTTGAGGTGTGTGCGCACGTTGGGCTGGATGATAGAGGTAGGAACGATTGTTCCGCTTCCGAGAACAGAACTTCCAATAATCGTGCAAACGAGTATTTGTACACGTACTTCGCCAGCGGCACAAAAGGCGTGACCACACTATTGCACTCACGACACCAGCGCGAGAAAGTCAATGTTGGACACCCGTTCTGCACCTTTATTTCAGCTTCGTCGCCGCTTTTGGATGTATGAAAAGTGGAACGAGGTGTCATCAACAGCGGCAGGCTGATGGAATTCATCGTACGTGAAAGCTCGTCAAATGAGCCAAACGATTCGTCGACCACCTCACTGGAACTTCCGTGGCTCATTTTTGTCAATGAAAATGGCGGTTTGCTTTTTTCTGGCAGATTTTCGAACGAAATCGTTATAGATCCTGTCCGACAGCTAAACACGTGAACGTGATCCGCCATCAAACGATTGCACTTAACATTCTGAGATGACGTATTAGCACAGTTGTCGCATGTCAGTCGTCTAAGGTGTACATATATACAGGTTGGTACGAACCTGGCATTTCAGTGAGAGGGCTGCCAATTCTTGATCAAGAAAATTGCCGAACGACATATCGTCATCTGAGCAAGCTGGAATGCGAAGGTGCTTGGCTTCAACGCATTGACGATAACGAGGGTTCAAGGATCCAGGGTCATGAACACGTAATGTGGACGTCGTGCACCAAGTAGCACACTCTGCATTAACAAGTTCCGCACCTCCCTTCCATGGCATTTGCGTGTTATTACTCAACTCCAAATCCGATAGCACATGAGCTTCCAATAGCAGGTGGTATGTCATTGACAGCGCATCACGAGTAAGACGCTTCAGCAGGCGCGAAGCCTGTTTTGAGGGACCAGTTATCAGCACTGTGCAACCGTTCAGCGGGTCACATCCATCGACGTACAGGTATGTGTCCGTTTGCAGACGATTAGATGCCGCAGCTGTTTTCGTAACCACGCCAGCAAGCGTATGCAACGTCTTTGTTGCTCTTCCCTCGTCCAAAACTTTTGGGACTGACTTCACTGTAAAGGACCGGCAGCTACCGATGGCCTTTTCTGGTTCGACCCTGTCCACATGATCCACAGAAGTCAGAACCTCAGCTCCAGTATGGCGAGCGATCCGATGAAGTATTTCCTTTTTAACGTTGAGAACAATCGATATGCGGCGTTCATATAGCAGCTCTTGAGCGTGCCTGGACACAGCGTTTTCTACAAAAATTACGTCTGGCTCCAGCGCCGATATCTTTTCCACCAAAATGGCCATGTAACCTTTTTCTTGCTCTAACAGCGTATCCAAGGAGCTCATACGTCCAGCGCTATTTGACCGGTCATAGCTGATCCCACAGGCAAACAATAAGATACGAGGATTGGTGACTTCGCGCGCCATTTGCTTATGACTCAGATGCTTGTGACACACAGTTCCAGCCAGCCACTTAAAATCGTAACTTGGATTCATCTTGTCCAACATACTCGCAGTTTTTGCAATGCTTTTCACTTTTACAAGGCTGGCGTAGTTGAAGCCACGTACCGAACGGAACTTCATGCTATAAAGCATGTGACCCGTCACAATAAATGCCATATCTTTCAAGGTCTCCACCAAAGCATTTAGTTCAATTGATTCAAACTCCGACAAGTTATTCCACACCAATGAAGTTGAATGCATGATGCCATCATGAATCCGATCGTAGGCCCTGTGCTGCATTGCAAACGCCACAAAATATGAGTGGTAAGACTATGTTCACTATTAAATGCTTCTTTCTCCTTACCATGTTTGCATCCAAGGCGATGTCCCGCTGTCTGGAGAATTTGTCGCTTTTTTTTGTACCGAGTTCTTGCTGAGTCTCTTCAGGTGCCGTTAGAACATCAGGTTCAGGTATTGCTTTATTCGGCCACTCGTGGAAAGGTACTTTAGCGTCCAATCCTCTGCTCTCGACTGCACTCAGCAGTTCCACGCTGAAACGCCTTCTCCTACTTTGAATTCCTGAATGGAACTGCTCCTGCGCGCCTAGAGTATCAGGTCCTTCGAACAAGTCGGCGGTTGCTGTTGTACGGCTTCTCGGGTCCATTTGTTGGTCTATTCTTGTGGGATCACTTGGATCCGAATTGACGAGTGACATCAATGGCATCCGTACCTCGTTCGGATCAACCGGTGGGCCAAACACGAAAGGTGACGGCTTTACACAGCTGTAGTCACCACTCAGTCGGCAGGATGAGTCGTCAAAACGATGAAGGATGACCTTTTCTGCTATCTCGTGGTCACTTATGCCATCAGCTATGTGACCATTTTCTCTCAGTTTCGCCTTACCGCTAGCAGCGTCGTTAAGTTGGACGCAAAACTTACACACTCGAATGGCACCTGGGAATCCGTGAGGTGTACCGTCTATAAATGAGGCGCTGCATTCATGGCAGAAAATTTGTCCGCACAGGCGGCAGTGGTGACGTCGCCGGAATAGTGAAAACGCAGCAGAACAGTCGTAGCATACCTTTGCGAGGGTACGTCAGAACCATAACGTTATTTGATATACCATAAGATAAGTGTGAAAAATGCGGCAGTTGTCTCATGGTAACGCTTATCTCACCTTACAGAGGTGATCCGGCATCCAGTACTGGTTGCTGACCGTTGTAAGCGATGGCCCTATCTTGATTAGTGATGCTAACCAGATCAGAAACGGTGTTTAAATCCAATGCACAATGTCCAATACCATATCGACTTATGGTACTGTACCAGCTACGGACTTCAAGGCGTTTGTGTCTTCTGTAACATCGTCCGGCGCCTGTAAATCCCTCACAACGCGCAGTCAGTCCCTTTGCAGCGACGGCATCGATGTGTTGACTGGTGCATGTAATCAGTCTAACATTATCACTAACCTCATATGTAGAGGCTGAGAAACCAGGTACCGGAAATGTCGTTAAGCTGGGGACAGAGACAGCAACACATGAGCAGACAGATATCCACGTTCGCACGTTAGTTTTCCTGATTCGTTCGATCAAGCGGGAGATAATCTGCCACTCGCACCGCGATGGGTCCTTATCTAGACACTGGTGCAGCGTGGACTGAACGCGTCTACTTGCGTCCGTCATTTCCATAGCGACGAGCCGAAGAGTCACCGCTACGTGACCTAAGCTTCAAGTGAATTCAGCTGGCCGTTTTTGATTGGGTACCTCCATTCGCAAGTTTAGGTACTTCCATTTGGATATCACGACCGATTTTTAGTTTGGGTAGCACCAAAACCCACGATGGTGCTTGGTCGATTCTGCTTCGATGAAGAGGCATTTGCAGTGGAACCCTTCGATGTAGCGGAGTTCCTGGAGGACTGTCGTGCACGATGGCCCATGGGTACAATTGATGAAGACCTGAGGCAGTTCCAGAAGGCGCTTGAGAACCAGCTCGTGGCCATTATCAACAAAGACTACGCCGAGTTCTTGCAGCTCTCGTCCAAGCTCAAGGGCGTAGATGAGGCCGTCTCGAGCATTTGTGCTCCGATTCAGGCGGTACTTGAGCGCGTAGAAGAAGTGCAGCGAGCTATGGTGCGTCGTTGATGTGCAGATCCGATGAAGAGCAGCGAGGTCTGACCCTTGTATGCTTGAGCGAGCTGTAGAGCGCCTTAAAGAACAAGATCCAGACGCAACTACAGACTGCAAATGATCTGCATCAACAGGAGAAGAATCTGGAGCTGGGTATTAACGTTCTGGAAAATTTGCTGCTGTTGGAACACTTACTGGAGATTGAGACACTGGACGATAGTAATGACGACGACAAGCTGGAGCTAGCCTTGGGTGAAGGCGGATCTATCAACGTCGATGAAGAATCTGATGATGATTTCGAGGACTTTGACCGAGTCAAGAAACGGCTCCATGAAACCAGTGCTGCGGAAGGTTGCGCGAAATTAGAGCGCGCAGCGCAGATATTTGTGCAGCTGGACCTGGAGATTATGAACGGTACACACCTCGCCGAAATTCAGGTAGCAGATGTGGTCGGATCGATGTTTGCCTCATGTTTTGTATCTCATTTTCAGTGTGCGTTGTATAGAAAGAAGAAAATCGTCTTGCAGTCGTTGAAGAGACGCTGCTTCGTCGCCTTGAAATGGAACTTGCGACAGAGATTTTACCCGATACGTTTTACAACCGCGATCATACCATTAGCAAACTGTCATTGGGATATTTGCTGAGAGCATACGTGCTGCTAGACAAAAGTCACATTCCCGAAGAAATGATAGGTCGTTTGCTTGTCAAGCCGTTTGCGGAGGAAAATCTCACGCGAGGAAAATTAGACGGTAGGGTTCGTGGATCCTGTGAAGGCCTGCCACAAATTTTTGGGTCTATCTTGGAATTTATTACCGGCAAGTTTGCGGGCACACTCGCCTTGTCTGTTTGTCAGGGTGAGATTAATTGCTCGGTTGACATACTGGGGAACGCAATCTGGAAGCCTCTGCAAGACGTGTTGTCGACGAATTACAGCGTCATTTTCCAGGCGGCCGACCCCGATCGTTTCCACAAAAATTACACGACCAGTATGCGTTTTTTGGCTGAAATCGAAGACCGTTTCTGCAACAGCGAAGCAATGAAGAGTCGCTTTAGGTCCCATGAAAGTGTTGTAGAGTTTAAGGAAAAGTGGAATCTCGACGTGTACTTTCAGCTCCGGGCGACGCAACTCGCTTCGAGCCTTGAGAATTCTTTTGGTGTGAAGCGTGACAAACCAGCCGGATTAATTTCAGCAAACGGTGCCACATCTGCCCCCACCAACGAATTGGCGCTGGTTTACGAAAACTCGAGATGTTTGTGGACAGCAGTTCAAGACTGCTGGAGTGACCGTGTCTTCTTAGCACCACTACTCTCCAACTTTTGCAAACTTTGTCTGCAGCTTCTCGCGTATTATATCAGCGTCTGGAAGGAGCCATTACTGAATGCAGTCGAGGTGCTGAACAGTAAATCAAAGGTAGACTTTGGTGCTGTGCCGCTTCATTTCCTGACCATGGAGGAAGACTTGTTGTATGCTGGAAGCGACTTCCACGTGCTTCACAAGATGGTAAGTGACGAATGCGTAGAGGCAAATCATTGCACCACGATTTATGTTTCGTTGCTCATGTGCAATGTGTAGATTTCTCTGGACCTTTGTGCAGTTGTGACGAATTGCGTAGACGCTTTCACTGACGATAGTCAAGTCTTCGTTACCACACTTTTCCACGAGGTTTGTAAGCTGTCACCATATTCTTATCATTGCTGGTGCCGACTCAGGTCAAATACGCTTCTTTTTTGTTGCTGTAGCCGCTCACATCGCTAGCCGAGCTAGAGGCAAGTTGCTGGTCTACTGCTGTAACAACGGTAGCTGCAGATTGCAAGAAGGTTTTTCCAGCAATCCGGTACGTCTGTGCGAGTTACTGATTGCAGATAACGGGTTAAATGCTCACCTTTATTGTTTTTACAACAGCACGGTAAAAGGCCAGTATCAGATGACAAACAAGCCTCCACCTACGACTCCCTCAACATACGTACCTAACATTACTCGGTACTACCCGTCTTTCGAGTTAGCGTGTTGCTCACGACAACAGCAAGCGCTCACTCGTGTATATTTTGTTGATGTGCAGACCGATACAAAAGTTTATTGAGAAGTGGGGTGCTTACTTTGATAAGGATAAGCGCCAGGAGCTGCTGCAGGCCATTGTGGAGGATCTAGTTGCCGTGTACTCGACTTTGTCGTCGGAGCTGCTGCGATCAGCATTGGAACTTGAAGAATCGCTTAAAAATCGAAAACTGCAGCGACACTCTGGGACCAGTTCATCGGTGGCCGCCGTAGCTGACACAGAGAAGATGCGCATGCAGCTGCTACTCGACCTCGAAGAGGTTCAGCGGTAAGTGTCTATGGGTAAAACAGTCTGGATGGGATTGAACTGAATGCCATCGATGATCGTAATTTGTTTGACAGAGAGGTCGCGGCGCTCGGGCTTGACGTTCTACTCTGCAGAGAATTGCAGACAGCTATCACCCAGCTTAGCAGCTAAAGTTCCACTGCTGGCAACCTCGATCCAAGTAAAAAATAAACAATCGGTCCATCACATGGAATCTGCTGTCGATGCTTTGCCTGGGCTTTTACAGATCCCCCAGAGTTTCCAGGATCACAGATACGGTAACAAATGAGCTTAGAACAACCTCCACAGAAACCTTAAAAAATTACATCATTTTAAGGGGCAATGATAATGACAGTTTACCGGTGTGATGACATTATCACGAGCAGGGTATCATACAATTTGACTGCAATCGGACGAGATGGAAGTTGCAGCACATTTTATTTCAAGAGCAAATCTCACTATCAGTGCCACAAATGTCCAAAAGTCCCAAAACCAATACTTTAATCAAGTCTACAATTGATAGCTAGCTAGTGTCAACCACGTTATACTCGACTGCAACATGGGATAAGAAACTGCATTATTGCTAGCGAGCTTTCCATCTAGTAGAAAATGGTCGCACGAATGGTGGCGCACACTCCATTCAGTTCTTGCTTTGTTTGGTGCCGATTGAGATATCCCAACAAATGTATACTTTGTCCATGTGTATGTGACTTTTGTTGCCAGCGCATGAGCGACATGAGAAGCGTAGCGTCCATTGGACCGTCCCTGTAACGGGGTGAGCCTATTACATTTAATTAACCCTTGGTACTTGTTATTTGTTGTAAAGGCTGATAATATTCGTGAATATTATATAAAGGGGCGATATTCAGAAACACTCACCGATTCGCTGATTTGAGTCATCATATCAGCCAGCTCCAGCAGTCCAATCAACGATGAATGCGCGCAATGAGTGGTGAGCAAGACTTACGCACACATTTGTTGTAGATACAAATAATTAAGTTGGGACTAAGTATGGGTTAACGATTAGGACTTGATTATAAATTTTTTGAATGCACGCCTAAAAGTTGTTAAATGCACGCCTCGTGAAATGCGCACTTTTTTGGTTGGCGTAACCGACCGCAGGCTCATAATTTTAGCCCGGAGAATCAAGAAATTATGGACGCCTTGTTCAATAAAATACTATTATTATCCAACGCGACCGAACGCAGCCCAGATTTACTGTCGGGAGAGTAAAATGCAAAGGTCGCGCGCGGGTCACAAGGTAGTCTTAATTTAATTAACTGCACGCTCACTCCACAAGAACATGCGAATGATGTATACATGAATCTTCGTACCTCCACGCAAAGTTACCATTATTTTACACGTACACTTTTCACCACTAATTTTCTTAATGCTACCGCCTTAAGCGCGGGGATGGGCACCACAGGAACTACGCACTTGCGCAACGATTCCTGCAACACATTTTGAATGCGATGCAGCTCAAAATTGCTGCTTGTGCTTGAAAGGTCGCTCTTGTTGGCTGCCAACACCAACGCACGTACCTCTTTTAACCAAATGCTGCACTACTTTCCTGTGAATTACCTTAGTCTTGCTATTATCTTACGCGGAAAGCATCACTCACTGACAGGTTCTCACGCTTAAATTTATCGCCTAGTGTATGCCATATCCACGTGCTCGTTGAGGCGTCCGTAAAAAATTCATGGCGCTTCTACCGAACCACGTTGTCCTCCAGGCCTAAAAGCGGATGACAACTCATGTTAGCCGGTAGTGCACCCAAGCGAAGTCAGCACACATCACGTGCACAGGACCAGTAAGAGCGCACTCAATTTGCACAATCTTGCCAAGCAACGTCGACTGCCGACTTCCGGACGACCAGAAAAATTATCAGCTTAATCGTTTGCGGCTCAAAACACGACTACAAGAAGACATCACCAGCAAGTTATTAGCAGCCAATATTCGTCTTTCATCTCCCTTAACGCACATCGTCCGGTATAGTTACGACAAGACTATCGCCTGATACGCAGGCGTGGACGAGCGAAAACGTTTTGAAATAAGGGCGTGCATTCAACAACATCTGTTAAAAGTTTTAAAAGCGTCCATTTACTACCCTTGGGGGCATGCAAATAACAATTTTCTAATTTTTTTAGGCCAGTTTTACTTTTACCATCAACTAGTCAGCTCATAATTGTTTTTCCCTTCTCTGCCGAGTTAACATAGGTAGCTGGACACCACTCACGCAGCTGGAGATGATAGGAATCCAAAATTGGCCAGTGTCTTGCTCCGATCCCTTGTTACAGCCTGGAAATACTTGCGAAGACGCAAGCGTTTGGTGATAAACTGCACAGGTCTTTTAGTGCACATATGACGCAGACTATGGTGCCGAAAGACCGCAGACCCAACTCGCATTTAGAGGTATGCGCGCGAAGGCATTGCGGGATCTGAAAGAGCAACAGCTTGCGGTGTGTGCTAAAAAGGTTGGCATGAATGCAGTTCCGCCAGACTGAGCTTATTTTATGTTGGTGAGAGTGTCGAAGACTGCAGCACGGATAATAAAGAAAACAGCCTCAGTCGATTTTGAAGGATATAACGTCACGCGATATGTGCATAAAAAGGAGGAGATCTCGGTGCTGGTACACTTGAAGATACAATCAGCAGTCCACTACATGATGCTCGCTGATCGGTTTCATGCACGTTGTATGTAAACAGTACGCTTGAATTGGAGAATGGCGTACTCGCGAAGAAATAAATCAATCATTGCGAGTATGATACGAGTCTCTGCAAGCTTTGTAAAGATTCGTTCGCGTTAAATACATCTAAAGATATCCTGCTGACTCAATAACCGCGCTACACACGTACGTGTTTGACAGGCTACATAATTGCCACCAATCACAGCAAGATCTGACTTGCTGCTGTATCAGCGTACGAACTGTCACATGTGCGCAGCAGTCGTGAGCTTGTTACATGCCCGTCAACATTTATCCTTGCACTGTGGCACATACACACCGACAAAGCGAGAAATCGTTAAACAGCACAGCAGATACCAACTGTAAGAACTAGCCTGCTGCTACGCTAGGCATTGGGCCCTAACGGGTCCCCCATGATCACAAGCTGGTAGAGTTCGAGCGACCGGGACCTGGCTCGCACGCGATGAGCTTGATGCAAGTGGGTATATCTGCGTGTTGGCTCAAATTGAGAATTGAACGAAGCGTTGGTAAAAATGGAGCGTTTGCTACCGCTCGTGTGACAGTTGTCTCAAATGGCAAGAAAGACTCATTGGCAATCTAGAAGTTCTTATCCCATCTTGCAGCTAGGTAATTTTCGTTGACACTATACCAACTTATGTATTCAACACAAGTATAAAAAAATTGTTGAGGGAAAAAAACGAATGCCACAAATCTTATCACGGAATAAAAATGCCTCAGATATTGGAAACTAAAAATAACGCCCTCCGCTTTTGGAAAAATAATTTTTTTTGGAAAAATCAAAATGCCTCACGTCCTCGTATGCTCTAGTAAACGTGGTAACATAAGAACTGTATGATTCCACGTCTCTACTTCCTTTAGTGGCGACGGTGAATCCCCTGCCCTGGAGAAGTGCCGCGTAGGGGGTTCTACCGCAGAGGTGCTGCGCTTGCAGCCACTAGTTGAGAGCATGGACGGTACAGGTAAGATGTAAATGCGTCTACGTATCTACGGCCGCTGCCATAAATGCAGGTAATCGGTACTGATTTTTTTAACTGACGGTATTTTTTGTCCATTATAGTTAGTATTGCATTCTGTTGTTATGATTATATCATAATTTTTTTCGGTCACTGCTGTTTACTCAAGTGTCGTTGTTGTTAGTGTCGTTGTTGCTGCTAGTGCTGTGGCCTTCCATTTTTGTTACTAATGTAAGTAAATGCGTGTTCCTGTCGCTTTTTGAACCGCTGCTGCTAAAGTTGGTGTTGGTGTTGCTGGTGTAACGGGGTAGCCCGTTACATGATATTGACACGAAACGGTGTCAACAGGGAGATTGTCTAGCGTGACAATTCCATGCCAATATTGCCTGAGATAGGTAATATTAAAGAAATAAAATTTTAGGATAATATTCATGCGCTGCTCAAAGATTGGTTGATAAAAGACATATCGACCAGGATAACTACCAGTCGCTGCTAGACGCGAGTACTGGGTGGTGAGCAGGTTTTCGTCGTACGGAAAATGTCGATAAATATAGTTAGATAAAGATTGAAGTTCTATTGATAGCTTAACCATATTGAATACAGCTCTCCCCTTAACTTTATTTAAACTGGTATTTAAGTAGATTTGCATCCTCTGAACGTACGAGTGTGCAAGAAGTATCGTAGCTCCCAGATAAAGGGGTGCCCCGTTACAGCTGATGCCGTTTTACTTGGTTCTACTGTTAGTTTCGTGGTATTTCTACCGTTTTTGGTGTTGTTGGTACTGTGGTGCTGCTGTTGTCGTAGTTTTGTTGAGTGATAGGGAATTGTTTTTTGCTCGTACGCTTGAGCTTTGTTAAACATTCATAGACTATCACGAAATCCATTCTACCTGTTTGACTCTCATTTGTCGATTAAAAAGGGTTTAAATAATGCTGATGGCGACATTATAGTGCTGTTACAGGAATTAGTCGGTGATGTTAAGTTTTTTTAGTCTAAGGAAAACACGCTGGACGCGGAGAGCTCAAGAGGTAATGAAAACCCGTACAAGACATTTAATTTGGTCGAAGTGTTGACACACGCGATCATACATATCATAATTTAAAGAAATGAATGCAATATGTATTATTACGCACATAATACGGACTCTAACACAACTTTGTCGGACTGTTTCCGTCAGCACTTAGTGTGCGACTCTATAACGGTAGTATCTGTTGCCACACCACCCGCTGCTTTGTTTTATGTGCTATAAAACTACTTTCCGTATACTCATAACGTAAATTGGTAGTAATTAGTGGCGCTTCTAAATATTGAGGATCTACCCACCCGCTAGACTGGACCTAAGTGATTTCTTCGGCACCTAGTTTGCTCCTTTTTGCACGTTGCAAGTATGCGTGGACATAATGTAGCATCAATACGCGAGCAAAGCATACGTCCACTCGGTCGCAATAAATAATCCGTTTAATCTAATTGTAACGGGGCACCCTTTATTTGGGGT